AAAATACATAGCTTAATACCTATGACGGAAACAACGGAAACTTCAGGCTGAACAAACCGTTGAATGAAATTGAATCAAAGCCGCTCAAACAAGCCTGAACTTGAAATTCTCTATGCAAATAAGCTTTCTCACAGTCGAGAAAACTTTTAAGCCAACATAAAGACATTTTTATATGTTGCCAACACTGTTAATAACGAACCGTCGTTTTCTCGTTAATAAAATCGATGAGCGAAATCTATCACACTGTAGCACCGTTTCGGAATCAGTGAGCCATCTCTGTACCGCAATCCTGGCTACGCAACATCATTCATATTAACATGGTGCGTTTGAATAACCTTCCAGTCAATCGTTCTAAACTCACTTTTGTCCCCCGCAAAAAAGGGATATAATAGCCTCGGTCGGTCAGTCACACCTGGTGTTCCAAGGTAATTTTGGCCATACACTGATATTAATCGAACTGCATCGTTGTCAGATGTTGTCCAAAATACTTTCAAGAATATAGGCATATTCTATTACCGAATGATTGTTTCCCTCTACTGCCTGACAAAAGTTTCGAAGCGTTTGTAGATTGCTGCACATTTAGCCACTTTCGAATTGTACCTCACCGACATAATGTACATTTTTGTCAGCAATCGCCTTTGAAAGTCTGTTCAGTTTCCAACACGTCTCCATGCTCACTTCGACTACGTTTTTCTTTCAATACTTACGGCTCCTTACTGTTAGAAACACATCCGCTTATCGTTACATCACAACCGATCATTCTAGACTCTCCATCATAAACAAACTGCTTCGCGACGCCCAGAACCAGGGTCATTCCGAACCGAAGACTTTATTCATAAATGAATATGGAAATGATGCGTTACTTGATCGAATAAATTAGTATGTTTTACAATGACAAGATCAGCATGGATTTTGAAGTTGTGACAGACCAAATTAGATTAATATTTGAAAATAACTGTCAAACGGAGGAGTTCTAGTAGCAGATAACAATTTGGGTCTCAAAAACTGAGCAAAATACAGCCATGCCAAAGAATCAGCTTTGATATTAGGTAATATGAACAAATTCGAGGCTATTCACATAAATGTAATGGGATAAAACAAGATTTTTACGCAGACATCGTCAAGCTGACCAGTCAATTAAAAATAGCTCGAATGCTACCAGAACACTCCATAATTACAAAAACTGTCGAGAAGTCTCTGCCGTCGTCCCTAACGCTTTGAATAGCCACTTTCTGAAGTTCCATAAAAAAGTCATCAAACAAACTTCCTTTCGAAGAGTCAGTGTTCTTACGCACTAACTCCACATAAATCAAAACGATCTTTCCGCAAATGTCAGACTCAAAGATGTCTTCCCAATTTTAAAGACAATATCTCTGCTAGTCATGGTAAATGTCAACTATGACGTTCAAGATGTTGGGGTTAAGTATGGTGCGTTTTCCATCTAAAGATATTATCTGTCTTAGTTATCATTTGTGGCATGTCAGCAGTACCACTCTTGCATTTGAATGCAACCCGTCAAAGAATCTGGATAATTGTAAGCTAGAGCAAAACTTTAACAGGTATTTCAAAACAATGGAACACCTAGTCATAATGGAACCACATTTATGACGGTCCGAGTTTCGACTTGGAAAAATGTTGATTTGCGTAAAATATTGCCGACAGATGACATAGTCATTACTCCTACTGAAATGTTGCCTCACGTCTTGATAAAGAATCTTGTGCAGCACGTGTGGTCTTCCGACTTCGGTCAGCTTTTAATACAATTTACAGTGACTGATTTCTCGTGACCCTAGAATATCTCTGGACTAATTCAAACTCATTAACTGACTTTCTGACTACCTTTCCAACAGGATGCAGTTTC